TTAAATAAAAGAGACATTATTTTTTAACAAGATAATAATCCAAAGCATACTGCATATCTTACAAAGAAGTAGTTAGAAGAAAATAAGATCAAGATGCTCAATTGGCCTTTCTAATTTCTAAACTTGAATTCAATTAAGTATTTATAAAATAAAATAGACTATTGTCTGAGAAGATTTAAATATATAAAAACTTTTAATAAATTGTGTAATGCTATTCAAAAAGTTTGAGTTAAGTTAGATTTAGATATATATAAATAGCTCATTAAATCTATGCCATGTTATATTAATAATATAATTAAAGCAAAAGATGGTTATACTAAATAATAAATAACAATTCATCAAAATTTTTTTGTAATAGAATCATTTTTTATTAAATTATTTTATAATAAATAAAAATAAAAAAATAATCAAAATAAGTATATCAACCAAAAGACTATTATTTATTAATAAATTGTTTTGTTTTTTATTGTTATAAAAAAAATTTATAACATTTAATATGTTTAATTTGATGACTTCAATAAAGTCTTCTTTATATTATTGTAATTTCTGTACTATAAGATATTGAAGATTTAAATTTTGTATTTAGATTATATAATATCTTTGGCTGTTACTGTATTATATATCTAATTCATAATATTTAAAAACATTAACTTATAATATTTAATATCCAAAAACAGAATAAGCTATTAATATTATACAACTAATCCTTCATTTAGTATGCAATATATAAAAAATTATTTTACAATACCAAAGATTATTTTACTAGTATATATTATAATTATAATTTTACAAAAGATATAATAATCTAGTGAAGTAAACAAGTTGTTAATCTTCAAGTAGTAGGTCTAAAATTCAAATCCCAGTATTGATAAAAATTTGCAATTCTTTCTGTATTATACTTAACTGTCTTCTGAAATTAGTTAGAATCAGATATCTGTTACCTATGTTATATTAGTATGACTTAAGGTCATATAATATTTGTATAATCATATATAAAGGAACACAAACTGATACCAGGTAGTGTAAACCTATAATAAGTTCTATGTTTATATAAATCACAGAAATCAGAAAAACAGAAACTTACTTGAAAGATTTGAATAAAGAGGTAACTTAAACTTTCAATGATATTATTATAAAGATTAATTTATAAAATAACCTAAAATTTACGAAACTAAATGAAGACAAGTTGGTCTTTGAGAAAGGATCATTGCAATTAACCAAACTGTCAAAATCTGTTTTAGAAAAAAAATTATATGTTAAAGAATATGTAAACCAAAGATATGATTTATTTATATTTTCAGATTATTTAGACTAGAAGCTTGATAAAACTTGATTTGAATATCAAAATAGTAAGGATATATTGTAAAATAAGAACTGAGATTGGGATAAACTCTACAAGAACATGGCAATTTAATAATATAATCTGATTGCAAATGTTGATCTTGGTTATAACATTACTATATTAACTATAAAAATGAGATACAAAAGATTCTGAAAGGTTTAGTACAAGGTCAAAAGTTCTTATATAATCAACTATCTTAAAGACTTAGTAACTATGTCATATTTGTACTAGTATCAATTGGGATATCTTGGTAAGTGTAGGTAAGTTGAGTGAATATGAGAACTAGAATGTTTAAATAAAAAACTTACAAGCAGGTTTCAGATATGACAACTAGTGTAAAACCTTCAAGCAGACTACTTAAATTAGACAATAACTAAAATTGTACAAGTGACTAGTTGTACACTCTTTTCATGGTTTCCTTCTGTGATTGTAATGCAACCATTAGCTAAATGTAATATCAATAAAATTCCAAGTCACAAGTACTTATCTTAATATTTAAAAAAAAATTTATAATCTTACATCATTTTATTATAAGATATATGATATGAGATTATAATCATAACATGTACTAGAAGAATGATCTGTTATTGTAAAATAATTTTTTTATATGTTGCACACCAGATGAAGGATCAGTTGTGTAGCATCAATGGTTTCTCCTGTTACATCCAAGCCATACAATTCATACTATGCAAGAATACCCAACTCAAGAACACCCAACACAAGAATGCTCAACTCAGAAATGCTTAACTCATACATTTCTGAAGTAAATAAAAAATTTTTTGACTTACAATTAAAATTTTACTGGGACTAACACAATATGACATCCCTCTAGAAAGGGTTGGAAAAAAATTTTTCGCTAATATAATTTGAATTGAATTAGCATTGCAAATAATAATGGTTCGAGTCAAAAAAATCGTTCAAATTCTTGCAGTTGACGAAAAACGAATTGTAGTACTAAATTTTGCTCTTGTAGGAAAAAAATTCGTTATACTCAAGGCAAACATTTTGTTCCATTAGTAGAGTTTGATATATCTTGCATAAATTTGAATATTTTTAGATAAATATAATATGTATAAATATTTCTGGCGGTTTTTTTTAATTTTATACCGATTGAAAAATGATGTATGTCGTTTTCGATTGAAAAATGACATGCGTCAATTAATAATTGACAGAATTAAAAAAATGTCGCATAACATGCATCTAACTAATAATAAAGAATTATTTATAAGTCACTCTTATTTTGTAAGTGACCCGTTTCATTGGTAAAAATTCAAAGTGTTATTATATAGAAGGTCTACTTAAAAAGATCAGCTTTGATACTTTTCACATCGAGAATTTACAATGAATATTACTGTATAACACATATATGAAGTTACGGCATATATCTAACGTTACGGCATAAGTCCATGTTACGGCATATATCCAACATTACGACAAATGTCAGTTGTAGCTTTTGAGTTACGACTGTGGATGCTACAAAAAAGGTACATCTCTGATCAATTTCCTGCACCTATAATGTCATGCGTAAATTTTGATCCCGGATCAAAACAAAACACGTGTACAGGAAGAAAAAAAAAGAAAAAAGCGAAAATACTCACAAACTAGTTTTCAAATCTGTCTTTGGGAAACGTAATTTTACATTTGGGAATGATTTTTCAAAGTCTATAACTACGAACCCTAGCCTGAAATATAACATAAAGTCAAAAAAGCTTATCCGAATATGCCACAATGCGCCACATCATGTTACCTGGTGAAGTCATGTAAACAGGTTTGCATAAACAGGTACAAAATAAACTTTCCAACTATATAATATAATTGGAAATTTACAATGCAGGAAAAGCTACAATCTGCACACCCAACAAGGTAGAGCAGCTGTTAATCGAAAAAGACTTCTTCTATTGGAAGGTGAATTAGAAGTTACCTTATATAAATCATTAATTTTGTTTGATTAAAATAAAAATTTGTATTGGGGCCTTCCAATAGGAATTTCCAATTATTCAATATATATATTTTTTTATTGGAATTCTAATTTCAATGCAATGACTAAAAGTTTCCAATCAACAACACTGGTAGAATGGTTAATAAAAAGATCGGTGGTGTTCAGTGAAGTTTATATGTCTAACAACCAAAATTTTAAATTAGCATCGGTTATTACTTCAGATAGAAATAAAAGTATTCCTTTTTTTCGCTTTAATAAATCATTCACAACATTGGTCCTTAGATTACTACGTAGTGATATTTGTTTTTACAACAATAATAATACGCCAAACAAATCCTTTTTATTGATCTAAACATATACGTAATTATTCTGTAGTACAACGAGAGAATGGACATCTTAAGACAAAATCTACATACATGCGTACAAATATTCATGTTCAGGCAAGTGCGTACATCCGTATACATAGCCATTTTAGGATGTTATGTGATCTTATAATAATAGCCTTTTTTGTAAGTTCATACGCGCGCATGTATTAGCGAAACACATGTTTCTGTACTAGTATACACCACATTAGAATTTTAATCAATGGAAACCAAAATAGAGTCCACTGGATAATCCGTGTTGTGTTAATATTCCTATACATTATACCACAGATATTATTAAAGAATTAGGCTTGCACATTATACCCCAGATATTATTCAAGAATTAGACTTGCAGGTATAATGGAGAATAATAATTAGATCTTAATCGTGAGGATATTATTTATGGGAAATACTACAGTATGCAGTGGTAAAAGGTTATATTTAAAAAATGCACAAATACATAAGAAGGTCAGAAAGTCGTCAAAGATCTCTTAATCGTTATCTATTCTTTCAACATATAGTGTGTTCAAACAACAGAAAATGAGTGTACCGTGTTTATCATAATTCCGTAAACCTATCTTCGATAGCAATGAAATGCGTACGCGTATACTAGGAAAGATGATTAGGTTATGCTATTTTTTTATGCACATACAGCATTTATTTATTTTAGACATTTTCCACTTAAGTCAATGGTTAACCTTATATAGTTTTGTGATTGTAGTAGAGAACTATAGTAAAGATTCAAAAGAAATAGGGGTTGAGTTTACAAGAAATTAATTATCTAACAAATATTTATTTTGATATAAAAATTGTAACAATAATTATTATTATCTCTAATGATTACAATATATTATTACTAAAAGAAGTATTATATTCGAATTTTGCACAATTGCCATTTTTAATCGCGTAGTTAAGATGAAACGGATTTAAAAAATAATGAAAAAAAGAAAAAGAAATAAAACAAAAAAATAAAAAATAAAAATAAAAATAAAAAAAAAACTAAAAAAAAATGAAAAAAATAAAAAAAATAATAAAATAAAAGATAAGAAAACAAAAAAATAAAAAATAAAAAATGAAAACAAAAAAAAAATTGAAAAATAAAAAATAAAATTAATTCTTTAATAAAAAAACCTATATGCGTAAAATCTTATGTTCATAATTTTCATATTAACATGTCATAAATAAGAAATTTAAGGTCATAATATTCATATAAAGTATTGTAAGTGCAGTCCATAATGTTCATATAAACATATCGTAAGTGCAGTTCATAATGTTCATATTAACATATCATAAGTTCAAGGATTCAAATTCATAACGTTCTTATTGGTATATAATAATGATAAAGGTAAAGAATGTTTTAGAAGGGAAATGAATAATCGAAACCCATTTCACGAGAAGCGACAGAATTTAAGTTATTTTGATATATTACGGAAAAGTTAAATTTTTCGATAGCCGGATTCGTGAGATCATTTTGGAAGTCAAGGCCTCCAATAAATGAATTATTCAAGACGATATCACTTGAAGATTCAAGATTATGAGTACCACTAAATAATGGCATATTATTAACCAAAGGGCAAATAGTTTGCGGTTCTATTATTTGCGTATCAAGAAAATTAACGAACATCGATTCGGGAGAAGTGATTCCAAGATCAAATTCGTAGTCATTATTTAATTCGGGCGAACTATTTCCAGAAACTGAAAGTTCTGGGCTAGAAAAAAAGTTTTGCGTGTCAAAGAAATTTGCCCATTCCGCAAAAACGTCCAGATTAGATGACAATTCAGGAGTCATATTTGAAGGTAATTCTAAAGGTAATTCAGTAGTTTGGAATGTATTATTAAAAGTAATGTTAATTTCAGGTTCCGGAGATGATATTGGAGGAGATGGTACTTCAATAAATTGCTTATTATCGGATTTTTTAGCTTTAACAATTGGAGTTTTGCGAGATGGTTTAGAGAAAGAAATAATATTCCATTTTTCTCTCTTTCTTCTACGTTCAGATTTTGGAACAATCTCGTTACGATAATCAAATGCATCTTTTGCAAGTTGTTTATATTCATTTTTAACGATCTCTGATTCTTGCTCCCAAGATTGAGAGGCCATAGTAGAAATAATAGTCATGGGAAGGGAATAACCATCATTTCTAGCAGCATCGATGAATGCTTTTCTATAAACAAGGAAAGCATTAGGTGCTTTGGAAGTTTTACCATTGGGAAGCAATGTGATCAAATCACATGGGTTGATTGTAGGCGGGAACGGAGGCTTGATAAATGGTTTTAGATTGTTAATCACTTGATTTTTTATTGAGGGATCATTAGAGTTGATAAATACGCAGGTTCGTGATTTTACTCGATTTCTGGCACTTGCATTAACAGAAAAAGTTGCTTGATTTTGTTCACTCATTTTATTAAATGACCTCTTCAATTTACAACCAAGGGATGACAGCGAGCAAATTCTCGGGTATATATACATTTTTAATAGCCGAAGTAACCGTTTATTTCGATAGTGAATTCCCTCCTTCGATAAGATTATGTCCCAACCAAAGTACACCAAATTTAATTTGTGGCGTTGTATCACTGTTTGCCACAGTGCCACCGTATTGACACTATTTTTAAACTTATCATCATTGTCAGACAGGTCACGAAAAGCCTAATGAATTTATTAAGCCAACGAAAAAGCTCAATAGGCTTTATTATTATCATTATTATTATGTTTAATAAGTCAAGAGTATCTAAAGGTAATGTAGCTTGTTTTTACGATGAAACAGAGTAATGATAGTTTTTAATATTACGCTTGAATTATTGCAAATCAGATTCCACGTGGAGAGATGTCCCAAAACAGCTATGGGAAATAGTTTGCCTTATTCAGTGGATTTACGTAAATGCACCACGTTTTTTTTTTCGAAATTTGCCGTTATGAATGTTATTCTATTTAGGGTAATTTAAATTTAGAACATTATTTTCTATCGGAATAGATTGTCTTACTTGAATGTTTATATTAAGCAATTATTATTCGTGACTTTAAAATTAACAGGCGCTAAATCTGTTGAACATAACCGAGCATTGGAAGAATTGTTGTCTTAATTGAGCAGTATTAATAGATAACGTTTCTCAATTTTCACAAGTTTGTATCAAATAAAAGTTAAATGATATCGATATTTCATGATCATTTTCTTAAAGTATTCTTATATGCGACTTCAATTCCAAATGGTATCAGTTTCCTAAACGATGTTAAAATTAAGAAATTATCTAGGACAAAGGAGCAAGACCAAAGACGCAGGGTTCGATTACTCCATTACGTTCACACATTTGACATAATATACCTCCAAAAATTTTTTTGTAGCAATATTAAACAACTTGCAAGATACTAATGAAATTAAATTTTGCTATGCATATTTTAAAGGCTATGAAGTATATTTTTATCATGAAATAATCAATGACGAAAAAATTTTTTTTTTGTCTGTAAAATTGTTCTTTTATTAGATTATTAATCTGAAGGTAGAATTTTTTTCATTTTATTAGCGTAATCTTGGATAAAAATATCCAAAGTCCATTTTACCAATGTTTTTTGATTTTTTTTTAACGGTTTGTGTCAATTGTTGAATTTTTTCACATTTTTTAATATCATTGTTTAAGGAAATTATATATAAGCATTGGTCATATGAATTGTAATTAAGATCATAATCGTTATCAATGGTTATATAAATAAACATAAGACATAAGACGCGACTATGTCTCTTGTCATTTTCGCGGAAAAATAAATAAATATGAATGAACAATCTCAAAGTATTTATATAATGATCAGAATTCTATTCATTTTAATTTCTACAAAGATAAATAAATCAACTTTTTATTTATTATTAAAAGTTCTCCAAGAATCCGAATTTTCTCTATGCGAGAATAATATTTCCATTAGTGAGTAAGTATCTAAAATAATTGGCAAATACAAAATACCCTTCGGTTAGCTATGTTATAAAACTCGTGTCGTGCAACTCAAATTCTTTATGAATTTGCAGCCTGAATAGTTATCTATCAAATTTGAACGCGAATATTTATGAAGTGGACACTAAAATTAATGAAACATGGAATTCTTGTAAAAAGCTAAGGTTAAATAAATTTAAAAATTGTTATCCTGTTTAACCTTTTTTTTCTTGAATATAATCTATCGTCTTTTCTCGATATAAATAATTTTAGAGAAAATTATGAAACGCGAATTGAAAGTTTTCAACAAGATTTATTAAAATGGTTACAAAAAATTAATAAAACAATTCGCCAGGAAAATGAGGATCTTTTTCAAAAAGAAAAAGACAATGAACCGTTTTTTCATGAAAAACAAGAAAGTCTAAAATGTCTGGAAAAAAGAATAAATGAATGTAAAAGAAAAAACTTTCAAAAATTACACAAAAAAATATTTTTGCAATTCTAAATCAGGCTAATTTTTACGTTTTAAAGTGCAAAGTATGATCGAGCAAAAGTTTTCAAAATCGACACTCGAGGGTTTATTTAATCATGAATGTAAGTCATGAATGCATTACGTTTAAATTCATGTATGGCACGAAAGTAACTCATGCGCTGTTCAAAAAGTTTCACAACTGAAAGAACTTTTCCAAGATTCTACCGATGCTGACGAAACGACTACAGATACATCTGATTTAGATTTAACGTATGGCGATGTATCTTTGCAGCTATGTCAAGATAATCGGTAAATAATTTTATATTTATTTATCTTGATTATTCTAGCATATACAGTCAACTCTCGCTATTCCAAATAGTCTGTTTCTATATGTAAAATATCAAAAAGTTTGGTTCTCAGAGTTACTATGCTGCTATTCCGAACTTTATAAGAAAATTTGTAAATGTTCTGAAGCTTTATGTTCGGTTTTTACAGAGTTTACTAAGGGTTTGGATTATCAAGATTCGGATTGAAAGAGTTAACTGTAATTAATTATTCATGATTCATAACTTTTATTTCATTAAATTACTTGATAACAGAGACTTACGTGAGCAATTACTGAAAAAGATAAGGCTTAATAAAATTAAAATTCGTGAATTGGAAGAATCAGTCAAATGTATAAATAGGTAAAATTGCATTTTGTGCACACATTTCGTGTATTCTCGTCTTAATATTCTTTACGAAATAGACTTGCAGATGAATGTGAGGAAACTTCATTGCATGTAACAGAAAAGATCGAATAAATGGTACAAGGTATAAAGGAGTATTTCTCATTTGACTTTTCAACTTAAAATCTAAGAGTAGCTTTTTTTGTTTTATCATAATAATGTGTGATAAGTAATTTACACGTTACGGTCTTATAACCCAAATATTTCTATTAAATTTAATGATTAAAAGTCGAGAATGAATTATCTTTAATATGTATAGTATCAAATTAATAATATTATTATGTAGCATATTCTTACCAACAAATGAGCTTGGTGTTCATTAAGGGGTTCTCCAACTTTACAAATTGTATAATCCTTCAACAAACAAACAGTATCATTTTCTACTGCAGTTGGTGCTCCCATCTTTTTAAAAAAAAGATGATTTGCAGATTTTTTTACAGGTCGACCATGATGATGATGCGAAACAATTCCCGCGGGAATGGTTATAGTTTCTGTTGCGATACTTCTAAATCTCGCATAGTCTTTCACAGCAAAGTTTTCTACATATTCTCGAACTTCTTCGAGAGGCTTACTGGTAAGAAAGAAACCACATTCACCACGGATTTCCTTTTGTTAATATATATGTGACGTAAGTTTAAGTACGTGATTTTACGAACAAAAAATATTTTGCCGGATAGAGAATAAATAAAAACAGACAAATTTATACATACTCTAAAAAGTTCACGCAAATTTTCTTCAATTTCATTCGGGTTATCGTTTCCTAATGCCATCTTTAAGATGGTATTTTTGTCAAAAAAGATTCTTTATAAAAATTTATAATCATGTTAACAATGTTAAATTTAAAGTTAAAACTACACATCAGGTTATCCTTACTTTCCCTTAGATTCCCAGTCAGTACGAAACCGTTGTATGAAAGAATTACGGATTTCTTCAACTTTCACCAGAAAAATAAAATTAAAATCTTTAATGCTCTCTTTAATTTTTTCTACCGCCTATAACCAATTTTCGTAATTAATATATTTATATATGCAAAATAAATAAATAAATAAAAATTTGATTATACCTCCTTAATACGGCCTCTTCTCTTTATTTCTTTCTTATCCGCTTCTAATTAAAATAAAAGGAGATGTTCGATATTAAATTTAAAACAAAAGTTAAAATCATAGTTTGATATTTTGTTTATTACTCTTTGTTGCCTTTGCCCTATCTTTTCTTATTTTATATCTTTTTGATCTTGCCATAATGTATTATGACAACTGAAAGTATTCTAAGACATTTTTATATTACATCTGTGTTAAAAAAAATTCATACACGTGACATTTGCAAGGTTTAACGACATTAGTGGCACGTTATTTTTGGCCAATTAGATCGAAGGATCAGGTGTAACGTAAAATCAAAACAATCGAATTAAGCCCATCTTTAGAGTTAGGATTAAGGATAAGAAAGGTCATAGTTTATACTAAAATTTTACGAAGAATTTTTTTATTAGAACGCAGAAGGCAGTTTCATAGGTAAAATTTCGAGTTAATAGCGATTTTTTAAAAAGACGTGATTTTCACGTTACACCTGCTCCTTCAATCTAATTGGCCGTAGTCACGTGCCGAAAAAAATCTTGTGGGTGAGCTACGGGGGTTAAGATGTAACATGAAATTTTTACGTTATAAGAAAGGTTAAAATTTTTAATATTAAATAAAAATTTAATTTAAATTAATATAATCCTCATCAATTATAGTTTCAATGCTTTCTTAAATTTTTTAAATTTTTTTAAAAATGTTAGTTTTATTAAGAAATAAACCTTTTATAAATATTTAAAAAGTTTACTTCTCAATTAGACTAACATTTTTTAAAAAAATTAAAAAAATTTAAGAAACCATTTTACTTAAACTATTGTTACAAAGTAGATTTTAGCATTTTTATTTTTATTTTTTTTTAACCTTAAGCAGTTATACTAGTACTTTATTAAGATTCTTTTTTTTTGTATTAAACTAGTTTCTTTTGAAGATAAGGTTTTTTATTTAGTATAGTTAGGATATAGGGACTCATGGCCAAGGCCTCAAAGGAGTCTCTTTATATTAGAGAGTACAACTAGTTATATATACATTTTTGGTATCTAATTAAATAGTTTACCAATGGTTCTACACTAGTTGTTATATCTGCAACCCAATTAGAGGTGTTGTCTATTTAAACTTTTTGTATTGCAACCTTACTGTTTTACTAGATCATCTTTGTTACATAAATCAATCGAGAAGGTCTAAATGCTTATCTATATTTTTAGGACTCTATATTTTATTTTATGAAATGTATTCTTAAAAGCATTGTTACAAGAGTTTTTTATATCTGATATACAGTTAACTTAGTTTTATATAACATATTATAGTTATCTAATACTTGCAGTCAGTGCTAATCTTAAACTGCTATATTACACTATTTCTACCCTTATAAAGTTCATTCAAACCTTAGTACCTATCTTCCTGACATTTTCTTCATCATCTTCTACTAATCATAACTCAAAACCATCAGTCTCATTCCAAACTACTAATCCAGATGGCCCAGTATAGTATACCTTAGTATTTTTTTTTTTTAGCAAATTCAGTGGTCTGGTTGGTCTGTATATCTTTACACATCTTGATGTTTAGTTTTAATTTTTGGTTCTTATGAAGGTGTTTTGTAGGTTTCCATTAGTTTGACAACATTATCAAAAGTTTGTGCTATCTTTTTATTTAGGAATTTTTAAGTAAAATTCCATCTTCTCAGTTTCTTAGTCTTCTACATCCAATATACTTATCATGGGTTTGTATCAAAATCTTATGCAATATTAGTTATTAATATTCTTCTATGTATATATAATATTACACTTCATATAGATGTTCTAAGTTCTCAATATTAGTAGGACCTGACTTGGTGTACCTGGATTACAGCCATATGAGGCCAACTGATTGACAGAAAACAGTTTCCATAATACAAATATAATTTCAAAATTTTATCGTAGGTAGGACTTGAACCTTAGACTTATCACTTGAAGGATGACAACCCAACTACTACACTAAGATTGTTATTCTCTTTATTAAGATTCTTGAAACTATATACATATACAATTATATAGAATTTCCAAATATCTAAATCTAGTATCATTTAGTCATTCTAATAGTATCTAAGTGTAATCTATTATACAATCTTTGTTAGAGATAGACTATTTGTTTAACTACTTAAAGCCATACCAGAAGAGTCTTTCTCCTTCTGTGACAAGCATATTTATTATCTTCAAAGCTTCTTTCTTCATTTATTCTGTCTTTTTTTTTTTTTTTTTTTGTCTGTTTATTTTTTTTAATCTCTTCTTTGTTTTCTCTTTTATATAAACACCTTTTTTTATTTTATTCAGTATATTAATCTTTTTTTCTTATACTTGTATTTTTTTATATTATATTCTCTATACTTGATTATAAAAGGTGTTTTATATTGTTCTTGTAACTATATCTATGCATTTTTATGTTATTTATTTGTTTAAGAGTTGCTCTGGTCTTTTTTCTACTTTTAATATTATGAGTCCCTTTATCAGTACTTCTCTGTTTATAATTTTTTCAGCTTCTGTTTTTTCAAATACTGTCTTATATAAGACTTGTGATAGAATTCTGTTTTTTTCCCTTTTCTTAAGTCTGTTCCATGCTGTTGTTGTTGCAATTTTTTGAATCTGCTTTTACAAACTTTTTTGTCTACTACAACTTGCTAAATATGTCTGAGTCTCTTTTTCTCCAACTTGGCATACTTGGCATACTTGGCATACTTGACAATCTACTGTTATATATATTTCCAGTCTTCTTTTATTTAACTTCTCAAGTATTAGTAGTCTGTTTATTATATACTTAATTGCTATAGCTCTTCTTGTATTAAGTTTTTTTAATATATAAAGAATTTCTTTTATTTTATTCATTTTTTTCTAAAAACTTGACCAGTTATGCAGTATATTTTTTGTTTCTGGTTCTAATATTCATATTAGGTTTGTCTTTTTCTAACTAACTTCTATTTTGGCATTTACTATTATTTTATACAAGAGTCTTGTCAGTATATTAATTTTTTTGTTTTCCTATTCTAAATAGTATTCTATTCCATTATATTTAACTTTATCCACATATATTATATTTTGGCAATTTGTTCTTTTTTTATAAAAGAGTCTGCTCTGTCATTCTACTTATTTTCATTATAACTTTTAACTTTAATTATTTCTATCTTAATGTTTTTGCTCTTAATAAGACCTACAATATTCATTATTCACATTGTATTTTTTTTCAGTATTCTTTCTTCATCTATATTTTGAAATGGTCTATTAATGTTTCTTAATACTACAATGTTGTCTGTAAATACTTTTATACTTTCTTCTTTTGGCACTATTAGAATTGCTGTTCATATTACTGCTAATTTTGATATTGTTGCTGAAGGCCAACCTTTAAGTCCTAATATGATTTCCTCTTTTGGCCAATCTTCCTTTTCTATTTATATTCAACCAATACCTATTCTTTCTATATTGTTTTCTTCCTTCTTTTTGTACAATACTCTATTAATATAAAAACTATATTTTCTCTTATCTTTTTTCTTGTTTTATATTGTTACAAAATAGATTTTAGTATAACATAGTATATTATATTATTAGTAGTTATTATATATTTATTATTGTATTTTATATATATTTATTATTAGTTATTAGCATAGTTATATTATAGTATATAGTAGTTAGAAAATAGGATCTTAATTGGCTATTAGAAGTGTGATACAGACACATGATATTGGATAACATCTATGATATCATTATTGTCTTACAAACCCCAAGTACCCCTACACAAGTTTCATGTATTCTAGTACAATTTACTGTACCAAATACTACAGTACAAGAATCCTAAGTATTCCCAATACAATTCCCAGATATCCCTACATAATCCCAAGTGTCTCTACACAAACCCAAGTACCTTGATACATGCCCTAAGTGTTTCAAGTACAAATGACAAATATATATAAACATTGTTCCAACTATCCCTGTACAAACTCCACTTGCCTCTGCACAATCCCTACTACCCCAAGTACAATATCAAGAGATATCACTCAAACTTCCACTACCTTCACTAGGTAAAAAGATATATAAAGAGTACCTTTTCCTCTTTTCTACCAATTCTAAGTTTCTATACTTCAACCCAGACATAATGACCTTTTAATGATAAAATATGATATTTCCCTTCTAGGATAATTCCTATAGGCAAGGTTATCACCATGTGTATTATTAATAAAAAGTTAATCTATATACTATTATTATTTTGAACTGTTTGTCTATTGCTGTGTAGTAAAGTGAACTACTACACCTCCACCCCATATATATTGGTAATAGTCAATCATTATACCAGGTGACTTATTACTTGGTTGTATTGTACCAAGAAGGCTGCAACCCTGTAACATTTTGGTGCCTTCTGGCAGAAAAACTAAAATTTTTGAACGAATCTAACAAATCTTCTTTGGTAGAAAAATAAAAAATTAGTTGACCATCGTTTTTCTTTAATATCTCTATGAATTTTTATCTTATCTTCGAAATCTCATTTTTTTTAGATTCTTGAACATTTTCTTTACATTTTGATATATAGGTTACTTAGTATCAAAATGCTTCCCTGATCTTTTATAAATCATTAAAGTTTTAACTCCCTTTTTGTTACAAATAATTTTTTTAAAATTTTCTTTTTCCGAATATCAGTACACAAACTTTGACCTTTAATATCTCATCATCCACTTGTTC